ATCATAGCTGCTCCAACTTAATTTGGTCCAGCTAGCATAATGATTTGAACATTTCCTTTTAGTGAATGATGAAGATAATCATCCACAAATTTTGCCAAATATTGATATTGTCATTCTTTATAGCAAGTATACTTGGATAGAAGAGAACCGAGAAAAATAAATAGAATTTCTTGGTGGACAGAGTTACCTTGTACCTGTTGCTGGTGGGAAGTAGCAGGTATCTCGTGGAATTAGTCGAGGTGCACGCAAGTTGGGCCAGACACCATGATTATAAAAAAAAACGAATAGAAATTGTCTTGGGTCTTTTGACAAATTTGTAAATTTTTAACTGGAATGCATGATTTAAACCAAAAAAAGGAGGGGGTAGGGGTGGGGGGTGGGGGGGTGTTCATTGGTATATCCTCTTAAGTTTTGTCAATACTTGAAATGGCAGTTGTGATGTCCCCATTGAGATGAGCAAGATCTTTAAACACTTGAGCTATTCTGAGGTCCAATTTCTTATTTTGATGCTTCTTGAGATCTCAAACAGAACTGATGTGGTTAGTCTTTCCAGATGCTGAATCTGCAGTTGACATGAATGAATTGCCTTTATTACCTCTGTTCCTCATGATATTTAACTGAATCTCAGTATCGCTACTCAGTCTACCAAAGCATATTTTTGCAATTCTCACTCCCTGATTTATGAAGCAGATTTACATGTATAGAAGCCATATAATCTTAAAAACCAAATAGTCTGATTTATAGGCTCCCGCATGCTTAAAAAGTGATTTACGTATTCTCCCTCTTGCAGGAGAAGTTGGCTTCTGTTGAAGAGCTTGAGCCATTCATCAATCACTCATCTCAACTGGCTGCCCTGGACTATATTGTGTCTGTTGAGAGTGACATATTCATTCCTTCATACTCCGGAAATATGGCAAGAGCAGTTGAGGGACATCGTCGATTTCTGGGGCATAGAAAAACAATCTCCCCTGATAGGCAAGACCTCATTTCCAATATCTAGTCTGCTTGGAGGATTATAATTACCTCCTACTAATACTTTCCTTGTGATCATCAGGAGAACTCTTGTCCGGATTATTGACAAAATTGACCAGGGTAGGATGAAAGAGGGGAAAAATCTGTCCAATCGCATTATCGAAATCCACAGAAGACGGTACGCTGATGTAGAGATATTTTATTTGTTTGCAAAATATAATCAGGGTGCTGATGACATTCTTGATGCCATTGTTTAGATGGTCATGTCAAATGTCAATATAGTGGCTAGATTTCTATAAGAATTCTAACAGTTATCTGCTTGCAATTATGCTTGTCCTATCTTTCTGGAGTGATGATGCACTTTCTTTGTGGTGTGTTTGGGCAAAGGTCTGCCCTTGTATGCTCTTAGAAGTTTGCCCTAGCATCGGCCAATAACAAGTGATATCTATGTGACTTCCATTTTTAAGCCGTTGACTGAAGTTGCAAATTTGAGTTCGGTTGTGCTCTTACCTACTTTGTATAGGTTCTCTTGAACTCCTGTGACAATAACAGTGCATCTCGGATTTTGGTTCTAGTATGCTGTTCTGTCCGCATTATGGAATCCTTTGCTTATGTTATTAGATTGCAGATATGGGTATTTTAACCAAGAACGGCACAAATTGGTAATATGATCTCATTGGTTTACTTCGGTTATGCAGGCAAGGATCGCCTAGAAAGAGGAAAGGGCCAATTGCAGGTACAAAGGGAACGGATAGGTTCCGCTCGGAGGAGGCATTTTATGTAAATCCTTTGCCAGACTGTTTATGTCAAAAGGTATCGTCATACACGAACAATTCTCATAGTATCAGGTAGTTCAGATGAAGCACAAGACCAATGTTTTCCGGAGAACATGTGCCCGAACATTGTACTAGTGATGCTGTTTCAGTCTTATTTGTTGAAGCTGGAGCAGGCACAAGCTGACTAGCATGCGGAATGTATATATACGATGAGATTAGATTGTTCTAAGTGACTTATAGGTGTAGATGAGTAAAGAAAATAGGTTTCTCCATTGAGAAGCGAGAGGCGTTTGATTGAGATGAGGCTTCCCATTTAGAGGAAGATGATCAAGTCAAATTTGTATAGACGGAGGGGCTCATTGTGGAGATCCCTGTTTCCATATTTACATTTAGCTCTTTCTTGGTTTTTGTTGTTTTGGTGTATCTATTTATTATTGACATTCTCAACAACAGAAAGAAAATCAATTCAATTCTGCCCCAAATAGAAGGCTCCTTTGAATGGTAGCTGGAATTAAGCAATTCATGACTGTTTTGTTGCTCTTCTATCAAAGATAGCCTGCTTAAGAGACCCAATTGAAGTCATTATTTTTGTGAATAGGGTGAAAAATCTACCTGTTTGTATCTTCAAAAAAAGAAGACGATAAAGGTTTAGGGTCTAATCCACATTGAGTTGGTTGAGGAAATCAACACTTTTGTAGTATGGTAAGGAATCCAACAATCAATCTCCTGCAAAAGTAATTAGTCCAGTCGGAAAGCTAACTAACAAGGATAATTTATCAGCAAAAAAGGGAAAGAAATTAAGACATAGTAAGTAGCAAAGTTACTAGCAGTAGCACTCACCAATTGAGGGGTATGCTTGACTAACTTCATTAAAGCAAAATCCATCAAACTTTCGGAAACCACTATATTTTAGTGGTTATTAGCTAGTTGTAGCTATCATTTACTATATTACTTCCTATAGCTATGTTTTCAGATTTTTTAGAGTGTATTCGATGTATTTAAGCTATTGTATTCATGAATACAATAGCATTTCTAGGCGTGAAACAGGGGATTACAGCTAGACAGATTTTTGTATTCGAGTGTATTCGACTGTATTCATGGCGTGAAACATGGGATTACAGCTGGACAGATTATTGTATTCGACTGTATTCACGTCGTGAAACATGGGATTACACCGTTTTTAAACGGAAAGTGAATCAATTAACATAATAGACTTCTAATACTCAATTATAACACACAGATTTTGTATTTCCAGTTAAAAAAAAATTTTCAACCGAAAAATACCCCCAAAACATAGCAATCTTCAGAGAAATTATATAATACATCTGAATACATAAATTATATTAATTAAAAAAATATACGAATACATTCATGGAATACAGCGAGACAGTGAATACAATGAAATACATAAAATACAGCGAGATACACTGAAATACAATGAAAAAAAAGACAATGAATACAACGAAATACATGGAAACACAGCGAAATACATTGAAATACACTTTAAAAAAAGGTAACAGAATCTTCAAGTTGCTCAGCCCCAAACTCCGTTGTCTTTGTTCAAGAACAACCCTAATGTCGTCTCGTCGAGAGGGTCGCGATTCTGACTCGAAACGTCATTGTTCCCGTTACTGTGATACTATTCCGGCAATAGAAAGCAAAGTTATGCGAGAACAAACCAATCGACAGAATCGCAATTTGCAGATCACATCTAACCTTTATTCAAAACCACCACACAACAACCAAATTGCAGCTTTGCAGAGAATTCCTTAAACCCAAACCAAAAACTTCCCCCTAATAATTCATCTGTGTGTTAATTGCGTGTGAAAATAAAATGCACGGAAGACCACGCAAAGCTCCAACAACAGAAGAGCAACAAGCTTCTGCTATCAAAGCTTCCAAATTACGTTCTCTCCAATCCCAATTTTTTCAATTCCATCGGAGATTCGCCGCTGATGGTGGTGGTGGCGGAGAAGCTTTCTAGGAAGAAGAACGATCGACGGAGGAACTGATGAGAGAGAATCCATGAGTTTGTATTCATGGAAATAACTGGCGTTGAGAGAGAGGGTGGAGAAAAATGTGAAAGAATGAGAGAGAAAAATAATATAAAGCTTATTTTATGGCCTAAGGGTAGGAGGTAACCATAAATAGATATTTGGCTATAGAAAATCAAAAGGTAGCTAGGGAATATAATTTTTTAAAAGGGTATTTATTTAAAACAAATAAGGTATCAACATTTGCTATAGGAGGTAACTAATCCTATATTTTCACACAGATTAAACATGTAGATAAAAAGCTACAGTAGTTCTTTTCTAAATTTTAATTAGTTCTAGAAGTTCATTCAAGTACACAAAAGCAAAAGCCAATTAAAACAGCTCTTACCAGCAGAGGCACTTAACTGCTGATTGTTTCGCTATCTGCTTCCTGCAATTATAACTATTTTTTAAGAGCGCCAAAACATCTATTAAAATATTCTTACACAACGTAATATACTCAACTCTGCATTATTTTACAATATACTTAAAACAATCAATCTCGTTAAATACATTACTCTCGAAGTCATTAGTGATAACTTCTTTGTACCCTTTTATCCCGATTTTGCTATTTTAGCATATCTTGTTCTGTTATTACTTGTCACCAGTACTTTCTTTAGTTTGCTATCAGTGCTCTTTTCATTCTCTATTGCTATCAGACCGCGGGTTTAGTTTCTCTAAATAGATTGTCTTGCTATTACTTGCTATAGGTACTTCTTTCATTTTCTTTATGGCTATCTTCAATTTATTTTCCTAATATATTGTCTTTGCTATGTATTGATATATTATTCCGAATATATCAGCGCTTCTTCCATCTTCTTTAGCCGAGGATCTATCGGAGACAGTCTCTCTGCCCTCCCAGGGTAGGGGTAAGGCTGCGTACATCCTACCCTCCCCATACCTCACTTGTGAGATTTCACTGTGCTGTTGTTGCTGCATTAGTGATATCTTCACTCTTGCCAAGAGCTTCAGTATGCATATGCTAACAGGAGGTGGTGGTGGTTTTGAGATGGTCACTTAGGTATGACTAAAACTAATTATATTTCTTTTCTTTAGGGCATTGTTGCGTTGAACCAGAGAAGTTTGGGTAAGCAACGTGCGACTTGAAGGACACGGTCCGTTGTGATTGCGTCAGACTTGATAGAATTTGATCAATATTATTGGCCATGACCGCTGAGAAAAATTCTATAATTTTGGCAAGAAAACTATTGTGACACTGGTGATATATTCACCAGTCATGTAACCTATATCCTGAAACTGCAGTACTACCAATCAGAGGCGAATATAGCAATATAAGTACAGGTTCAATTGAACCCATAACTTTCGGTGCGGACCATAAATTTATATGTAAAATTTATTAATATTAATATAAATAATAGATATGAACCCACAATTTTAAAATTATAATGGGTTCAATGTTAAAAATCTTAAAAGTTGAACCCATAGGATCTAAATCTTGGACCCGCCTCTGCTACCGATATCATCAGCACTACCAATATCATCTACTGAGGCATACAAGCTAATCTATCTTTTCCTGTGGTTGACATGAAAAAGAATCAAAATGAAGGTCTCTCCAAGTGCAACTTTCACAAGATGCATTCCATGGCTCCCTCGGAGTCAATCAATTTATATATTAATGATTTGATTCCCCAGTTCGTCGGAAGAGAGAGTGTGCTTTTCTCCTGGTAGCACATACCCACTGTCTTGGCGTCTCAATGTCATCTCCAATAACAGTTGGCACATGCCAACAACCATGCTGGGACTCCTGAATAACAATTGAATAAGGTGGCGGCATATGGAGCTTAAGTCCGTCATCTCTTGAAGCTGTCATCCGGATCTGATGTTTTTCCTTCCATCTGGGGAAAAAGCTAGTGCCCAACAGTTGGAACAAGTGGTCTCTCATCTCATCATTTGTCAAAAGCAAACCTTTAGAACTGACAGCAGCGTATAACCAGTACCAATCATCATTTGAACCATGTGGAGTGGCATAAAGTGCACCCGCTTTTTTCCAGCTTTCTAACAACTTCTTGTTATTAGGATGTTGAGCAGGACCACCAGTTGCACGACTTTTGTGCAAAATAACTAGCGGAAGTTTGTTTGATTTACTCATCTGTCTTAATTTATTGACAACATTTCTGAGCTGAGAGAAATTAAAACTTCGTTGAGTAATAAGGCCAACATTTGCACCATCCACCACAGCATCGAATGGACCGTGCTTCTGTAGCCACTCCTGAAATTGCACAAAATTAGACTTAACTTCTCTTTCACAAGCCAATTTTGCCAAGGAATTAGCAAAGTTCTCTGTCTCCTTGGGATCAATGTCAATGCACACAAGCTTTTCACCACACGAACGACAAACTCCAGAGCTATCCATCTCGGCTCTCACCACGGACCAATTTCCCTTTCCCAACCAGCCTTGTCCATGCCAACCACCCCCTCCTTTCACAACACCTTCCTTCACTTTCCCAACATCCCAATTCTCCACCCCAACCTCTGCAGCAAATTCAGAGTTAAACCATTCCTCTATCACACCAGCAGTCTCTTCACACACCTGCCTTACACTTGCCCTTAATCTATGCATCGTCTCATATACTTTATCAGCCCTTTCGGACAAAGAACTAACTTTTAACAATGCAGAAAGCTCTGCTTCCTCAGCCACAACCCCTGATTCCCCCATATGTACGTCAACTTCATAAGCCTTATCAGCTATTCCCTTCTCACAAAACCCAAACAATGCTGGCCCATAAGATCTTAACTTCGGAGGAACACCAAAACTCTTCATTTTCTTCACTATATCAAAAGCCATTTCTGGGTCTTGCTTAGCAACCGCCAATCTAGCAGCACTAGTGAATGTGGCCTCATTAGGAGCAACACCATTTACACCCATCTGTTTGAAAATCTCAAATCCTTTTTCAATACCAAATTCCTTGGTACAAGAAGCAGAACAAAGATAAAGCAACACATTATAATGATGAACATTGAGTGAAATGTTGCTTAACTTAGCTTCTTCATAAAGGCGAAGGGCTTCCTGTAAGTCACCGTGTTTTGAACACTGGTCTAGCTTATGGCGCAGCACACTTTCAGGCGCGTCACGCCGGGCTTTCTTCGCGGACCTGCTATTGGAAAAGGTTTTACTAGTGGGTTGTTGGAGGAAAGCAGCGGAAGTGCAGAGATGGGTCTTTTGGTTGATGGAAAAGGGATCTGTATGTGGGAATTTGGTATGAATTGGTTTGAAGAAGTGGATAGTATGGGGAAGATGAAATGGATAAGGGGTTTTAGTGAGAAGAGAGAAGAAGAGTGAGGTTTTAGAAAGACATGGTGAAAAATGACCCATGCGACGAAAGACCATTGCTGGGTATATGAATGACACTTCGGACTACTGTCGTAATGGATTGGTCTCTTACATCGGTGGAAGCTTGAACGCCTGAGAAGAAGATGGTGAAAACAGTGTTAAAATATTAACATTTCTAATTCAAAATACATCGAAAAAGACAAGAGAGGGTTGCTCAGGTGGTAAGCATCCTCCACCTCCAACCAAGGTAGTGGGTTCAATTCACCAAAGGAGCAAAGTGAGAAGCTCCTGGGGAGGGATTAAAAATTTTAAATAAAAAAACATCGAAAACAAACTTGCCTGACATCATTATGTGAAGCAAATAGAGGAAACAATTTGCATATTAGTCAAGTAATTGAGTAAAATAAGAACAAATATGTTATACTAATTTTTAAATCCAGTCGACAAGGATAGCGTGTATAATTTAGTATATCTGAAAATAAAAGCAATAGGCAACTTTATGTCGTTAATAATGTGTAGTAACTGTTGGTTAGATGTTAGAATAATTTACAGTAACGCCGAAATGAAAACATAAACCAGAGCAATATGCAACACGCGTGAATATAAGGCATGTCCACATTGGATCCCAAATATATTCCCTTTTGATAAGTAGCAGTTTTTTGTCTTCCTAAAACTATCCTGTAGAGCACTGGAAAGGAAAGAAATGCATACAAACCTGTAATGTAATAACATATCTTTATATACAATCAGCAGATTATGCAATATTTTACTGAAATGTCAACTTTTGGATCATTAAAATTAAAATGTATTAACTATCCACCTCATTAGGTTAAGCCTACATGATAGTTTGAAAACTTTTAGTACAAGATTCAGTGCTTTTAAGGTAAATGTTGCCTTGGTTTTGAGGTCTCTTCTCAATGCAGAGAGGTAAATCATACTAAATTGGAGTCCTACTCCTTTGATTTTTATCATATCAGTAAAAGCAAGGAAGTTAAGTTCAACTATCATAACCACAAAATTGGGAAAATAGAAAAATCTTCAATTTATAACCCTTAACTCCAATTCATATGTATATTAACCAATAGAATCGCATAATCCCAATCGAAAGAAGGAAAAAACGGAACAAGCCATGTGCAGGAGGAAATAGAGGAAACTAAGAAGAAGAAATACACAAAACAAACAAATGGGCCAAAAAAAAAAAAAAAAAAGGAAATAGCAGAGATAATACTAACCTGAACACTGTAGAAGAAGATAACGAATTTGAGAGAGAATGAATGAGGTGGCTGCAGTTCAATTGGCACAGGGGATGGTTCGAGTTATCTGCCCTAGGAGTAGTATTAAAAGATGAAATGACATAAATACCCTTGATTTTGTTTTTTAAAATTGGGTCAGTACAAATTTAATGGCATTGTTTGGATAGGATAACAGAGCTAAAGATTTTGAAGGCCCCACTGATCATTCACTATCCTCTCTCCTTCACTACTCTTTTCTTCCCCTCCTGCATTTGTGGAATAGCAAATACAGAAAGAAGGAATGGTTTCTTTTGCTTCAACATTTCCATCTTTGGTTTTACTGCTTCCTTCGCCCAATCCCTCCAGATATTCTCCTCCACCTGTAAAGCTACCTCCTTTAATTTTTTAAGCTATTTTCTTACTTTTTTAAAATGCTAAAATTTATGTGTCCCTTAGCATATCTTTTCCTTGAAATGTTATTTGGTTTTAATTCATGATCACTTCCATTTGTTTCATAATTAAGAATGTAACTTTCTGCTTATTTTTGTTAGAAGAATTCATGGTGTGGTAAGTTGTGAGGTTGGGCGTACTAAGTGAATTTGATTTTGGCATTGACTTTATACCGAATGTTCTTGATTTTCTGTTTTTTACGAAAATTTCAGGGTATGATTTGTTGTAAGTTTGGACCAGAGCTTAACAATGAGGATCGCTGCTTTCGTAGACGTGATGTTCTTCACTCCATAGGAGCAGCAGTGGGAATGGTGAGTCCATTGCTTCAGTTTAAGCAGGATTGGGAGAATTTAATGAGTTAAACTTCAACAATGTTGTATAGTCCAATCCTCCAATATGCATCTTGACCACTTAAGTTTTGTCTAATATTTTCACATTAACTGTTAATAGAAGAAATGAATTAACTTCAACAATGTCGAGTAGCTAAGAACTCAGTCATTTTAGTACAAGTATTTATCTTTCAGTAAAAGGAAAATATTTTATACACAGAGGACTCTCAAAGTAAACAAGTAAGCTAGATGGAAAATTGAACAATGAGGGCTAAAGTCAATGCGGACCACGTATTCAAATGCATATGCACTACTAATAATTTTTACTAATTTACATTGTGGATTGATATCTCATCTAACAAAATAGGAGTGTTGAGATGATGATTACTTTCAGCTGTAATTTCTGTTAGGACTTGATAGCAAGATCGAGCTCGTTCACTGAAGTAGCTAATGCTGCTGATCTGATACAACGCAGACAGCGTTCAGAGTTTCAATGTAAGTCTTCATTTTCTTCTCAGAAGCAAATATGGCATGCTTCATTTTACTGAACTGGGATTCCTTTTTCTTTGATTTACAGCAAAGATCAAGGGAATTCTTTATGAAGCTATAAAGGTGAAGTTTCAATAAATGGTGCTAATTACTCAAGTTGAACATGCAAATTATGAAAGCTCTCTTTACCAACTTTTTTCCTTTTTTGGATTTGTTGCAGGGAAATCCAGATATCGTTCCATCCATACTAACTTTAGCACTTAATGATATCATGACTTATGATAAGGTTAGAGACCATTATATCCTGTACTTTGAGTGACTAAAGTAAAAGACTTAATTCAGAAAATTTTTGCAGGCAACAAAATCTGGAGGTCCCAATGGATCAATACGTTTCAGGTACTTTTTTTTCGTCGACCTATTTCTTTGGATAAAGCGCTACACTGCCATGAAATCAAGTGAAAAATATCATATTGTATCTCTTGTTTGTTTAAGTTAAAACCACATAAAAGACTCTGGTCATGTTTTCTTCAGTCCAAAGATACTTGAATTCTCAGTTAGGTCTCAGGACTGCTATTATCATAGACTCAAAGTGGATGGAAATGCTATGATATATGAACTGTGTTCGTTAGCTCGGGTTAATATCTGGCATCAAATTTCCTACTATAGGATGAAATCTCACTTTTTATTGAAAGTTAATTCATCATTCAGATATTATTACCTTGGATTTTATACATCTTTTCTTGTACCCTTATTCCTTGTGTGAAGCTCAGAGATCAGCAGACCAGAAAATAAGGGACTTGCTGCTGCTTTGAGTTTGTTGGAAGAATCAAAGAAGGAGATAGATTCAGATTCCAAAGGTGGACCCATCTCATATGCAGATCTCCTCCAGCTAGCTGGTAAGGAATTTTAGAGGCCAGTGTGGAGGTCGAGGATTAGGGTTGTGTGAAAGGCCGTCAGTCTAGAGTTTTGTCTAGGCATCCCAGTAGTATTAGTACTAGTCTTGTATTTTTCTATGCCTAGCCCCTTGCTATCACATCGTGTCATTATTTCCAGCAAGGCTGAATCTATTTTTATAGTGTCGTATTCTTAGATATCTGTTGTTGCACGTATCTTCATTTGTGCCCATGTCTAATTACCTGGTTGTTACTATTGTCTGTTTATTGCTTTATTTTCACTTCTTTTGAGCCGAGGGTGTTTAGGAAACAACCTCTCTACCTTCATTAGGTGAGGGTAAGGTCTGCGTACACTTCACACTCCTCTGACCCCACTTATGGGATTTCACTGGGCTTCTTGTTGTTGTTGTTGTTAGTTAGTTATAAGTTTGACAGCAGAGGTGGAGTCAGGATTTTAACTTTATGGATTCTGGATTTTAAAACGACCACTTGAACACCAATAACTGGGTTCTAAATTTATATTTGTACACATTTAATAAATTTCTTAACACAAATATACTATTTAAGCAAAAGCTACTGGGTTCGGTCGAACCCGTATTCAGGCTTCTAGCTCGGTCAAAAATTATTGTACGCTACGTTACAAAAACTACAGAAGGAAACACTATGAATATCATAAGCCTAAGACAGTCAACTCCAGAAAAATATTTTGAATGTTATAAACCCCTCAGTTAACTTTAACACCTTATTATGGTTCAAATTTCCTCACCCAGTTTTCTTTGCTTGATGCAGCACAAAGTGCAGTCAAATCAACCTTTCTCGCTTCTGCAATTCGCAAATGTGGTGGTAATGTAGAGAAGGGATCTTTGTTATACAGTGCATATGGTTCTAACGGACAGGTTTTTTTTCTTCTGATGAGATCAATTTCACTGATTAGTGGAGAATGTATACCCCTGAACTCCAAACTTTCACGTCATGATAAGCACGGATTTTGCTTCTGTTTATTTTTTTATTCTCCTAAAGTTTCCATTTTGAGAAGATAAAACAGGAGAAAATGGAAAAACAAAAGGGCGAGAGAGAGAGAGAAAAAGAGACCTTGAACACAGGTAGAGGAGAGGTTAACAAAAGAGTGATCAGCTAATTTATCTTCCTTTCCCCATCTGAATATTGTGTGGTACAGTTTAGCCGGTTCTTTCTGATTTTTGGAGTTAACAATGTAAGGATTGGAGTTACAATGTAAGGAGACTTCTCTATCCCATGACTTGTGAATGTCACTTGGAAAACGACTCTGACTCCGAGCAGATAAATGAAGAGAAATGCTAATCATTTAGTACTTGTAGGGTTATTCGATTAAGCAATTTCTTCAGATTATTTATCCAAAAAAACAAAGAAGTTTTTGCTTCAGATTGTTTGTGTAATTTTTCCCTCTACACACAGTGGGGCCTATTTGATAGGCAATTTGGGAGGTCAGATGCACAGGAGCCTGATCCAGAGGGAAGGGTGCCTCAGTGGGATAAAGCAAGCGTGCAGGAAATGAAAGACAAGTTCAAAGCTGTTGGCTTTGGCCCTCGTCAGGTAGAAAAATTACTACTAGTAGTTATTTGGAACAGTATATTTGTATATTTTGGACCTAGTTCTGGCAACATCTTTTGGTTCGTCCACAATATGCTTGCTCATAGTGAACGAATGAGACGAAACAACTAAATACAATTTCCAATTTCTGCACAGCTAGCAGTAATGTCTGCATTCATAGGCCCTGATCAAGATGCAACAGAGACCCTACTCGCCAGTGATCCAGAAGTTCTTCCGTGGGTTCAGAAGTACCAAAGAAGCAGGGAAACAGTATCTCGAACTGATTATGAGGCTAGTATATACTCTCCTACTTAAGTTTCTACTTCTGCAATAACTAAGGAAAATCACATTGGGGATTAAAAATAAGAGGCTTTCTAAATGTGTTAATGCACCATTATAGTTCAAAAATAAGAGGCTTTCCGTTTGGTTTCTTTGCCAACCTGATTAGTTGTAAAATGTCAAAAACTAACAGTGGATATGTCTAATTTCAGGTTGACTTGATTACTACTCTTACAAAATTAAGCTGCTTGGGACAACAAATAAACTATGAGGCATATAGTTATCCTGTCCAAAAAATTGATGTTACCAAACTCAAGTTGTAGAAAGGTGGCAGCTGATGTTTTTGCACTATGAATGCACTGAGCACAACACAGATACATATGCTTACCTGTAAGGATCTGGACAGAGTAACTGAGAATTTGGAGGCAGCTTTTTCTTTTTCAGCGCGAGGGGACAGAAACTGTTTGCTTAGAACTGTATTTGCAATCAGATTTTCCCAATCGCTGTAACATAAACAGGGGTGTTTTATATGTACTTCTGTAAAACTCTTCACGTTTTGTGTGTCAACACGATTGTGTTTCAAGATCTTTCATGCTTCAATAAACAACATATTTCGTTAGAAGGGCAATTCTATGTAGTCTCTGTCAATTTCTTTTCGGTTTTTTTTCAATGCCTTGCCCTGCACCACCTCAACAAAATAAGAGGGGGAAAAGGTGAGTTGAACTAGATCATTGGATCTATATAGTAGAAGATATTGATACAGAGAGGTTAATAGCCTGTTTTTTTGGCCAAAAGTAATTGAGGCGTTTGGCCAAGCTTTTGGAAGGAAAAAAAGTGCTTTTGAGGAGAAACAGAAGCAGTTTTGGAGAAGCAGAAAAAAGTAGCTTCTCTCCAAAAGCACTTTTTTGAGAAGCATTTTTGAGAAAAATACACTTAGAAGCAGTTTTTTAAAGCTTGGCCAAACACTAATTGCTGCTCAGAAGTGCTTTTCAAACTAATTAGCCAAACACAAACCGCTTCTCACCAAAAGTACTTTTGAGAAAAGCACTTTTGAAAAAAACACTTCTCAAAATAAGCTGATTTTTGCAGCTAGCCCAAACGGGCTATAAGATTACATTGGCCAGCGCAACATTGAAATTACACTTGTTTTTGAACAAATCAATAAACTTATTTTACTGATAAAGCAGTATGAAG